TGCGAAGAGCCCGAAGCAGAGCGACCTGGAAGATGTGCGACCTGCGTTTCTGGCGTGCCCGGGACGAATAGCGGTCGAGAAGTAAGAAGTAAGAAGTAAGTAAGTATCTTTCAATTCTTCCAGTACGTGGTTGGAGAATCCTGCAAGTGCACGAGCAATTTGCAGGGTTCCACTTACGTCAGTGCGCTACCTCCCCGCTTCCCATCCCTGAAAAAGATTGAGCATCTTTTTTTCGAAGCCTGCATAGGCTTATTGTGTTCCTTGGAGACCTGTTGAAAGGAACTGCTAGAGTTTTTTGAGAATCCCATTGATCATAAATGTACCATATTGGAAATTTATGGCTGCCGTTTTCCAGCTGTGCTATGTCTTTCTTCTTGCCACTTTGAGACATATGAAGAGCGACGATCGTTCAGCAGTCATATTTGCCTTCTTCTGCCTCTCCAAGGAATCTCCAGAATTTTCAGAGGCAATCGCCTAGCTGGCTCCGGGAAGGAGGCTGCTTCTCCCACACTGATTACTTCATATATTCGTTCGTGATCTCCTCCTTGTTTCCTATGGGGGGGGGGGGACGCTTCCATACTCAAGAAGCCAAACCTCGTCATTCGAGTTTTTCTACCTGCCAGGGTCATTCTGTGGGTAATAAAATGGCTCGGGAGGATAAAAGGAAAATACGTCAACATTGTAGCACCCTAAAAGACTGATTTAAGGCGGACGTTCAAATATCTTAAAAATTGCAAATGAAATTCGAGTGACGGATGCCTTGTAAGCCAAGTTTGTTAGATATCTTCTTTCTACTTGGCGTATGCGATACCTCCCACATGGTGAGTGCTGCGTACGGGCAAGTTCTTCGCATTAACATCGCCCTTGTCAGCAGATATTTCATCTGCCCTCGCTGCTTATAAATTTCATTATACGGCATCGCTTCGGCGAAACTCAACAACTGACAGCGGCAAAAATGGCGGCACTCGCCCAATGTCCTTTTCATTTCGAGTCACCTCACCTATCTCCCTCTGCTCTCAGGTGTCTCATCCCCTCCATTTATTATCTTTTCCGTATCCCCAAATGTCTGTATTTTGATTGAATTTAGCATTCTTATAAACAATTCGAAGCCAACTACAAAACCGAAAGAATACTTGGATTTTTTCGTGGATTACGATAGTACTGAGACCTATACCTGATAATTCTTCCTAATAGTTGTGCTTAGCACATAGAAAAAATCTCTAAAATTGTTCTAGGAAGTTCGCCAAATAACTCAAAGCTTCGTGAACATCTAGCTAGTTTATTTAGTATATAGCAATATATACGGCGAAACGGTGTATGGTAAGTAAGCACGCTAACACTAGACTGCGGTCCGGGGATACAAATCCTGGGGTCGTGATCGACTCATGCCAAAAAAAGCTTTCATCCATCCGGGGTTCGTGGTGGGCCAGTTAGTCGAGATAAAAATCCTGACTTGTACACAGGCGGACCGCCAGTGATTGTGCAACCCTAATCGCATCACAACGCATTGCGATTATGCCATACGTAGAGTGCTATGCCGCCAAGAAGGAAACAGATCTACGGCGAAATATATTTAATAGTATGTGTGCAGTGAGATGCGAGGCGAGTTTGTTGCATAGTGGATGAACAGCTGCATCTAGAGATCCGTGCTGGATGACCGTTCCTTCCTTTCTTGACTGAAACAACAATTTGACCGTCTTTTGCATCGACTGCACTTCGCAAACGAAAGACGCGTTCAAATTTTTTTCATGGTTCTCATGGGCCATCAGCCGGAGGCCGAAAAAAGACATTTTGCACATGTCGCACATCAGCGATTTTTTCTTAGCAGAGATTGCCGTCGCTGGCGGTCCATAAATGTCCCACTATGGGTAGACACAGCCTCCTTCACTGCGCTACCGTCTTGGAAATGACATCATGCTGGTGTATTACCGCGCGTGCTTAAGATGCCTAGCCTAAACTGCTCCAGCGGCCGTAGACCTTTTTCTGCTTCAATCTGCCACAGTTTTCAGAGAGTCGTGAAACTTCGAGAAACTGTATTGCCTTACTGCTGACATCGCGCGCTCAGTTACATGATGGCAGTAATATTTGGTCCGTACATGTTGAATTTTAATAACCTTGAGCTTCCCTTCGTTTTGACTGGCAATGTTGGTCTTCGAAGCGGCTGTCCTAACACTTGGCAATCACTTTAATGTCATATCGGAGAATTTTAGGCAAGTATCATGTTTGTTGAGATTTTCGCTCGTGCTCAACGGCTCGTGGTTTCTCGGCCACATTAAAGTAATTTGAGCAATAAATCCTTGCCATCGTCGCTGTGTTATCGACATATGTAACGATGTAAGCGCCGCTGATGTATGTGGCTACGCAATTTCGTGAAATGAGAAAACTGCAGCTAAAGCTGCAGAGGAATCTTCCAGAAATAGAAGTACTGCTCTTAAAACTAACTCTTTATGTAACCCTCGGATGTTGCATTATCATCCTCTATATTTGGTGCACTTTGAAAGTAATGGCGCTCAGCAAGCAGAAAAGGCGAGTATCCGGCGCTATTGCTTTTCAAGATGGTTCGTGTTGTGTTCAAATCCATCCACAATCTCTGCAGGATTAGCCATGGTTCATGTACAAATTCGTCGTTATCCTTTCAATCCTCCCCTTCGTCCTGCTATCACCAATGCAACAACCCCAGATGGATTCCTACTTTTGCTACTAATTGTGTGAAAAGATGCGTGAGCCTTAGCAGAGAACCTATGAAGTGTCGCTGAAAAAGCTGACCTTGGAAAGCCGCCATAAGCTGCTGGATAGGTGCCAAATCTAGTGCGTACGCCTTTTGCCACACGCCTAATTGTAGCGATGGAGAACGCATGATTGGCTGCTTGAAGAATGCTTAGCGGCTAATTCAAATACGCGTGGGTTAGTGGAGCCTGGAGCAAGCAAGTTCGGAAAACTCGTCCGGCCTGCCCCCCCTTATTTCAAGGAGGAGGAGAAGAAATACTTGTCAATGGTTTCATCGGCGGTTTGTTCTGGTTTTCTTTATTTCCACTCACCATTAGCTCGGCATCCATGTGTCTATTTTCGACCGCTGTTACCCACCAATTTGATATGGGGTTGCTGCTTTGAATCACCAGCTGAACGGAAAGTTTGGATGGGTTGAGCGAAAGTCATTCTGACGTGAGAGCGCGCGGCGGCTCATTCACTCGCTGAGTTACCTACCCAAACTCTGTCGTAAGAAAAGAAATGCGACAAAATGAAAAGATGGCGGGGTAATCTTATTCTGTTATGTTTTGTCAACTACTTCTGTAGGATCAGATTAGCACAATTTTGAAGAATTGGTTCCGTGGATGAAATCCCATCGAAGCAACAAAGTCTTCCATCGTCGCGTTGGTTTGGCATCTGACTTTGTCGATGAATAGAAAACACGAGCTTGAAATGAAGCAGTCGTTCACTGGCAATTTGTTAGGTTATCTATTCCTTTCACGCACGGTGATACCTCACCTTGGTGAAAATTCAGAAATTGGACTCCCACCCGGATGGGTTTTCCACCGATCCTCCTTTGCAAAGGTCGTTGGTCCTGCTTCTTTTTGACTAGTCCACCAAAACTCAAAAAGCCCACTGAGCGAGCTTACTGAGAAGGCCTACTGTAACAACAGATCCTATCCTAACCATTTCATTGGGCTCCCTTTTTCTCAGTCCTGCCAAATTCATAATACGACCCTATTGTAAAAATGGTGAGAGGGTACATGAGCGTGCCTCTTCTGCCATCGTTGGGGAAAAAAAACAAATCACAGAGCTGCAACAGAATAAGATTCCGGGGTTAGAAAGCTGATCTCATCTAGTCCTTTAGAATACGCACGACTCGAACACAATATGAACATAGAGTGACATCTGGTTCGCACTTTATTCTCCAGTCAGAAATAAGCTCATTAACAACTTTCCTTACTTAGCTTCGCAGGAATAATTCAATGATTTCACATCTCAGAAACCTTTAGTTACCGAAGTTATTGAAACATACTTCGCTGGGTCAAAGGCGTTCTTTTCTATTTGTGCTTGTTCTCTATGAATTAGAAGAAGAGTTTCTACCCGAATGTGTGGAGTTTTCTCGGCACAATATGTGAAAGCATGTTACAGCAGAGCACGAAATACAATGTGCTGTTCACAGTATATCACTTTGCTCATGCCTTCCATCGATTTGTCGAGACAGCGAAGCTATGCCTAAGCTCGCTATTATTTATAATCGACGTAAGTCCAAGCTCTTACTAGAAGACTCCGATAGAGATAATTATTTACAGCGAAGACGTATATTTAGACCAAACGGCTATTTATAGATACTTTCAACCAGAATGGCACTGGGTGTGAAACAAAAAACAAGTCGCTCACAGGCGCGACTAGAACCCGACACCGGCTCGCTTTACCGGGGCCACATTTGCCTACCATTAGATTGTTGATATCGGCGTGACCGCCGATTAGCAGCAAAAAACGGTGCTTCGCCCAGAAAGCGAGACGTACAGGTTCTGGTCCCGCCTGGAGCGAGATGCGGCCAAAAATAGCAATCAACAAACAAAAACAACTCTTTATATGTTTTTGGGAGTTGCCGTTAATTTGCAGTACTGCAGTACAGAATGCCGTTTCCTTATGAGTGCTCTGAAGCAACATACAAGTTCATTCCTTTCTTACATATTCTGGGGAAATCTCCACTTTTCTCAAACACATAGTAATTTGTTTTTGTTTGTGCGGTTCTTTTACGTTCCATTCGCGTGGAATCTGCGCATTATGTGCAAATAGTAAACAAGTAAACAAATAAATGAGAAAATCACCACAGAAATCTGCCTACCGCTCCTTTGATCACGTTGTAAGGTCGACCCACGTGACTCAGTTACGGTCGTGTCTTACCATTACTGAGTGCATTACTTACCTTCTCTGGAGTGAACAGAGGAAGTATTCGCTTATGGAGATCTGGCAAGTGGTGGAGTAGAGCCTGTGTCGATGCGGGCATGAGTTTTGTCATCGTAATGCCACACACCTCGGTGCCCGATCAGCCGTTCATGCGATCGTCTCTGGGTCAGCCGCGCAACCAAGCACTGACTTCTGCTTCTATCATCACGGTTCTTGTTTCGCCCAGCACGCAGTCAAATGAACTGCTCTTATCCTCCAGGCATCGAGGCGTGGTCGCGGTCACTAAAGATCACTCGACTCTTTGGTTTATTGAAAGAATAATAGCAAGGTACACAAACGAAGGGCAGAAGTGGTGTAGTGGCAAGTGACGCTACTTATCACGTGCGCGGTCCGGGATCGAATTCTGTGTCGTGCTTCACCCGGCCAAAGGTTTCCATCCCGGTGATCGGTGATCGCTGTAGACTTGTCTGGTAGCATAAAAACACTGACTTGTACACCGGTTGACCCCAGCAAGTCATTGTATAGGCCACATCGAATTCAAGTGCCACTGCGAATGTAGAAATGGAAGTAGAATGCGTGGCGCATCCCAAAAAGGATTGAGCTCATGAAGAAAATATCTTTGCTTACTACGGCTCATACTGTAGCCACAAACAAACATAAGCTAACTGGAGAGTTTCCGCCAAACGAGTCTTCCTTAAAATCGTACCCACGAAAACTTTATTTCCAGCTTTATCACAGTAATCTTTGCCGTTTGGGCGATCGCTAAATCCATTTGTCGCATGTCTCACATTGCTCTCTGAGCCAGAAGTCAGTAGACAGAATTGGCTCGTTATTGGCGATCCACGAGACCCGTGAACGCTTATCGAGGCGTTTCCTACGGGAAACACGCCTCATTACGAGTCCGGCGGCGTCGAGTAGTGAGTGAGTGGTCCGTGCTCGAACCCCTTCCCCATGGATCGGCGTGGTCCGTATATACGTCATCCATCAACGTCTCTCTGGGGAGTTCAAGGGGCTGTTTGCTTGGTTTGCGGATAGAATGATGAATTTTCACACATTCACACGTTGCTTACGAACTCCGCCAAGCGGCCCCGGTTCAGACCCGTTCAACTGCTCATTTATGGCTTTGAAGTAAAATAAATCTAGAGTTGCTATGAAAGTTCAGCTCATTGGAAATAAGGGTAGAGGTGGTCAGTGGAGCAGGGATGAAGAAGAAACCATTTGAAACGGCCCGAAACCCGAGAAATGGGACCCCTTCCTTGCCCGTTGATTTGCGCATTGATGCGACTCTCATCGCTGTGCCCTCTTCAACACTACGCTCTCTCTGCTATCTAATCACTCCACGTATAGACCTGCGGCGAGTGATTAGATAGTCGGTGGGCGTACCCCGCCAACCGCGCCAAGAGTGAGCCATGCTAGATCGCCGAGGTCAAATCTTTCGCTGCCAATTGCGCGTCGGTCAGCACCCTCAGGAGGTCCGCCTGTCTCCCAACTATGCAATTTTCCCCTTCTTTGACCTTCGTTCTTATCGTGAATTCCTCCTTTAAGAAGTGAATATATGATATTTTGTTTGTTCAGGCGTTCGAAAGACGAATTGATCAAATTAGACATTGTACCGAGCTTAACTAGCTAACTGCCTGAACTATTACCAAACCACATTGAGCTAGGCTTTTTCTAGTTTCTGGTACCCTCTTCCAGAACCGAAAAGTACTGCATTGGTAAGGGCCATTTTCGAGCGAATCTTATCCAATCGATATAAGAACAAAGCTGATCGGTCCTTTCTTGGTAATGCGCCAGAATCCTATTCCTTTCGAAATGATAACAGCATTTCGTGGGCCATTTCTGGCTTTAGTGAATGTTGTTATCCTCCCAGAGCAGTCCGGCAGCAAATAGCCAGCCCGCGAGGTATGGGACGCTCAGCTGGCCAGCTCGCGATTTGGCCGAGATTTCACGAATTATGAACTAGCTACGCAACTCCACCTGCTGCTACATTCAATCCGCCCCTTATTTACAAATTGCAAATCTGTCTTTAGCCTTCATCTGATCCTCTTACCACAAGCGAACACATAAAAACGTTTTAGGAAAGTTTTGTAGAGGTGATCACTCCCTCCACTCCCCCATAATTCATCCCTGCATCAGTATTTTTCTTCTATCGGGTCGGCAATTTTGTTGTATTTATAAAGAGTTACTACCATTCAGATCCAAATGAATTGCCCAAGTCGAGAGAAGTACATAGGTAGCCTTGGAAAACGAAGTCCATCTATTTGGGGCCAGGATATCCTCTATTCGAAAGGCGATCTATTGTACATATCCATTGAGTTTGCGGTGGCTCGCCGATGTACAGGTCCGTACTTTTATCCTCCCAGAAAAGTCTGGCACTATGAAACTGACCCGGAAAGGATAGAATCTTCTCTAATTTGGACAGCCTACGATCCAGGATTTACTCAGAACCGTGCGCGTGATAAACAGCCCTATGATGCAGTTGCTTACCAGTCGTCGCCACCACTTTCGCCCTCCTAATGTAAGAAGGTGGAAACAATGATCCTATTTACGATAGCGAATAAAAATGCTTGACTCATTTTACAAGAATGCTGGGTTGTGAACAAAACATTCGCCCGAGCTCGGACTCGAACCCCGGACCTTTTGCTTGTGCGCTACCACTCACAGTTTAAAGTTATGTTCACAAAACAGCATTCCTGTGGAACATTCGCAGGGCGAACTGCGGCCAAGAACAGCAGTTAACAAACAAAAAGCTCCACTCAGTCTTATTTGTTTTCTTCCTTTTTAATGGCATACTTGGGTTAATTCAGCTGTACTTCTAGCTATATTTCTCGTTTTGTTCGAGAGAAGCGAGCCTTCAAAGCGGAAATTGAATCGAAGATTAGCTCTGTGGAAGATGGACTATTCCCTTCTAATTCTTCTCGAGAATGTTTGTCTATCACCATTTACTCGCGAAACGCGTTCAGATAAATAGCCTAGATTTCGATCATGGAAGTGCTGCCTTTCATTTCGAAAGTACGTTCACGAGTCCTTGGCTTTCAGAGGCTCGCAGTTATGAATTTTCCATGGATACGTGGCACGCACGTCCTCCTTCCTCCTCCCGCACAACGATGAAACACACAGCAGTTTCACGCACGTTACGCGGCTCTCTTCAGTTACACTTGATTATTTACTCTTGCGAACACGAGGTTGCTTGGTATTTTTGAACAGGTGTTCAAAATGCTTTGCTTTTCATCACCCAGATATGCACTTGTACCGTACATTCTGCCTGATCAAGGGCACTGGGTACGATCAGTTGGCTGCCCAAGACGGATAAATATAAGATCACTATAAGTAGAAGATAGTTGCAGACCTATGTGGCAGATGAGGACAGCTCGTGAAGTGGCCAAAGGCACACTCGAGGAGCTAACAGAACCTTTCCCATTTTGCGCGATGTCCTCGTGTTTCTCACCTTTTGGCGGGGGGGGGGGGCCCAAGTACTGATCCAAGTTAGAAGATTCATCAGTTGCTGCAGAAAGGCGGAGTAGTGCTCGGAAACCGTGGCGCCGCGCTGAAGATTTGAGGTCGCCTTGGAATCTTGCCGAGCCCCGAACTGAAGCGATTCGACATGAAAAAGCGCAACATCCTCGGTTTAAGATCGTTTCCACCGGATTCTCTTCCACCGTTACAGTACCTAGCACATCATGCTTCATTTTCGACCAATGACCGGGCTCAACTGTGAAGTAAAAAGGTGGGAATCCACGTACTCCGATCCACTCTTTTCCTCTTCACTTCCATCACTTCCATACGTCACCATGGCTGCTTCTTTTGTGTTTAATTGGTATTTGTTCTGCTACCACGAAATCTAATTCCGTTCTCGAAAATCTAAATTCTTTCGAAACTCTCCATCCCATCTGTGACCAATTTGACCGATTCCTTTTTGCAACTGCGAGTAACTTCAAGAAATGTTGGTAAATCACCAGTGGGGACTGAGCATGCCACCAACCATGTTATAGTACCTTCAACTTTTTGCGCTTCTTAACCCACTCGCGACCGGGCGGGATTTTCGAAGACTGCCCGTTCGGACCAGCGCCGGCAGAGGCGATTGCGCAATGTCAGCCACCGGTGGCTGACATTGTCCCAGGGGAAATCCATCTTGTTTTTTTTTAGTTTTTCTATATATCATCCGTAGTTCACGCTGAAACTCCTCCTACCATGGTTATCAAGGGTCCTGATCACGATTATTGCGGAATCCCATTTCTGGCGCTGGCGCAAATTTGGCGCCATTTGGCGCCAGATGGCGCCATGAACTGAATTTCGTCAAATTTGATGTAAACTTGTATATTTGGGACCCTGATTACGAATATGAGATTCCCTTTGGCGTATTACGGTTTCGAAAAAAAGCTTTCCACATCCTGAACGACTTCCCTTGTTAGTCCTGATTGGATCCAATAGTGAGAGGGTGCAGGCGAGCAGGAAACAGGTGCTAAATAGCGCCAACGACTAAAACGAATGTCATATTCGTAATCAGGGCCTCAAATAACCCCCATACGCAAGTTTACAGCGAATTGGTGAAGACACCCTTGGCCAACTGGCGCCAAATGGCGCCAATTTGGCGCCAGCGCCAAAAATGGATATCATATTTGAGATCAGGACCCTCGAAAACCCCATGGGAAAAGTTTCAGCGGAAAAAAATTTCAACTTTTTCGGTGAAATTTTGAAGTCAGGATTATTTTTTCTTCAATAAAATTCTAGTGGATAGAGATTTCCTCTGCCCAGGGGTGGCCTAGATAGATGAGGGTATGAAGATTCTTCACAGCAAAGAAAATCTCCCAGAGACCTCCTTTTGTTTTCAAAAATTCCCTTTAAAGCCCGTCAGCCACCGGTGGCTGACATGGTCCGAAGTGAGGGTGAAACACCGAATAACCGACAAGGGAAATCATCCAGGGCAAGGTGCCCTCTTGAAAGAAACGGTTTAGTACATGTTGTAGGGACGCATGTACGGGACCACAAAACCATGTTTTTCGTTTCGCTGAACGGTTTTAGTAGTACCAAAAAAGTGGTGAATAATACTCTTGATGGTTCAATCCCCGCGGCGACTAAATTTTGCAATCAAGGTTGGCGGCCACTTGTTGGCTTCAAAATGGTCCTGACGATGAATTTGACATCTGATTTTGATATTTAGCGCGATTTGGCACCAAACCGTAGGCGCCAACCGCGAAAATTTCTTATTTTTCTAGGTGCGTGCGACGTGAGGTGGATTCCTTACGCCACCTTATGCTTCGTCTTGGTACTCCAGTAAGCGTTTACAAGACGTAATGTATTATAGTTGTGAGAGTATATATATTGTTTTGCGTTCCTTATGGCGTCCCACAATATGCGAAGAAACGCGTGTTTGAGAAAAGCGCACCTTGCCCTGAAAGACCTCCCCTATGAGAGGTCCGTGAGCTCACACACTCCATTGCTCCTGTCACTGTTCCTCTTGATTACACCATTAACCTATGGGGGAGACGAGCTCAGGGCAAAGCTTGTAAGCGCTGACAAATAGAAGTAGAGAAATTGAGCGAGCTTTTTGAGCTCTTCGAAGCAGAGAACACAGCTTATGAGGAGACTTCTATTCGAGGAATGTCCACCTGATTGCTTCTTTACATCATCGTGTTTGCATCAACACATTCAGAAAGCCTCGGCCACATGTAACGAGGGGTGAGCGAGGGTGGTGGGACGGCGTTAATGTTATTTCGATGCCCGCGATTGTGGCGGGAGTTCATTGCAAATCAGCCTGCTTGCAAAAGCAGAAGTTATCGAAAATTTCTTGGAAACGGCCGGAGGGTGGATCTTGTGGAAGTCGAAGGAGGGCCTCACCGTCGGTCTGCTCGTCGCGAGCCCAATAGCTATTTAGTTTTCCTTCGCATCACATGACTCCTCATTTGATGAAAGGGCAGAGTTCTCGAGATTAATCAGTTTCTTCAGTGTGAGCTGGTCACTAAACTTTCATCACGCATCAAACGAGCGCCTAAATGAATTTCCGTCCTCTTAAATAAGCGGCAGAATTCACCAATAGTCAAAACCAGTGGTATTCAAGAGCTTGTAAGGCAGCTCTAATAGGAGTAAAGGGGGGCCTGTGAAGGAGAAGTTTACTTGCCCGAGCGGTCATTGGTACATCTCAAATGCTCACTGACGCCAGGTAGAGATGGGGGCTTAGCCCCTATTTTTTGGTGCCCAGGATGTAGGCTTCTTAAAGAGTACGTTCAATACATGTAAGTTAACCCAGGTGAAGTTACATTATGAGCATTCGCAGGTGAGGCGCTTCAGCAAGTTCAAAAATTATCATATTCTTTTACAAATTTTGAACTAATAGGAAAATTAAGTCTGAAATTCATAAATGATGAAATAATCCATTCAAAGAACCTTTTCATTCACCATCCATTATAGCTCTTTCACTTCATCCGCACTCATTGTTGGAAATGGTGACAGTGAATAATTAAATCGTATTTCACCCAGAAACCTTTACGCGTATTCCCACTTGAAAAGCGGCTCGCCCACTTTCCTTCACGAAACTATGAATCATTGTCAGTTGATTGGCGTGAAGAGCGCAAGAGGATATGTATTTCATTACTCATTGTTGTACTTATACATCGCCTTAGATGCCCTCCCGGCCCGATTCCACCTCATCATCTTCAACACGCCATGCCCGTCAATCTCATCAATTGAGTTGTTCTATCTTCTCAGATCTGTTTATTAGTTCCTCTTCCTAGAAGTCCCAGAGTTCTCAGTAGCTGTCAAAAGTTCAGTTGTGTCAGAGGGAATTATGAGCGAACATCTTTGGATTGATATGCTCCTATGTTTTAATTTATGAAACCTTTTTTTGAAAACGGATATGGGTTTTTGGAAGGGGGTTAGAGAAGATAGGCTGACCGCTGGACTGCTTTTTTTCGTATCCAGGTGATGTCTCCTATTCACGGCGATGTTTTTGCTGTTTTCGCACGGAGGATTTCCATGTACGTGTATTGAATAAATAAGAGCTCTGCCGGTTCGCAGCCAACTTCAATGCGCTCGTTTCGACAGCGCCCTTTTCCGAACGCGGTTTTTACAGCGAGCGCTGCTCTTTTTGTTTCCATTTTTATTCTCAGTGACTTGCGAGGTTTTGGAAGTAAATGTAAGTGTTATTAGTGTTGGTCATGAGATGTGCCGCAGATTCGACATTCATTCAAAATCGTACCCACTTTTAGGGAACTGCTACTTCTTATTCTATCCCAGAGAAGGCTTGGCTTATAAAGCAGGGTCCGATCCTCGCATGAAGCTGGGCCATTTGCGCGCCTTTAGCTATAGCTTCATTTTCGCTGTGAGTGTCGCGTATTGTATATATAGCATAATACATTCCAAACATTATCTTCAAAATGTTCTAACACTTAGCAGTGCACCTGTGGTGGGGACATATAGGGGGGGGGGGGGCCAAAAAAAAAGCGGCATCCTTACTCACATTCAGAAGACAGGTGGGTGAGAGCGTTGGGGTGTTCGAAACCAAACGAATGAGCTCGAATTGCATATGTGAAAAAACACATTCGGTAGCTAGTCAAAACATTACATGGGGGCCCTCTCCACCGCGACATCAGATGACTTTCCCACGGAAACATGGTTCGCGGTACGAGCTCAACGATGTCCCCGAGAAACGACGATCACGTCTCCTAAACGCTGGTTCAAAGCCATGTTGCGGAGTCAGAGTTCCCTAAGAAGCCATTCACCAGTTATCCGATTGAAGAAATTATGTAGCAGCTTCAGAATGGAGCGATTATGGTAGGCCTCCTTGAAGCTCGACGGTGATGACAGATGACGTCATATTCTGGAGACGGTGAACGCAGCGAAGGTGGGCCTGATTCTGCTTATGGGGGGACATCTAAGGAATATTTCGCCGTATAACTCCCAATAACAGCGGCATCCTTTGCGACGAAAAGTTTGATGATATGCGCCATGGGCAAAGTGACTTTTTTTTGCCCCCTGTATAGTTGCACCGCCACCCGTTCCGTCGATTAGCAAATAGGGGCGAGTTGGAAATTGGAAGTACGACTTCCAATTTTTTCTACTGCACACAGTTCGGTTTTCGTTCTTTGAGTTGTAGAGTTATGAAGGCCTTCACATTACTTGTACTAGTCTTTGGTCTTTATTCGTCGAAGTCGTTTACCAAGTTGTCAATTGTACCCTGGAGGCGAAAGAAGAGCGGCTGAACGATGAGTGACGGCGAGTGTCTTTGGGAGTCAGAGTTCTTTGTGTTCTGCATGTTGAAAGGAGTTGTTCTTCATAGTCATATCTTAGGGCAATTATTTCTTTATACGAAGAATATGGAATCGTGGTCCAAAATTGAGAAATGTGAAGAAAGGAGAACGAACAAGAAATAGCATCACAAACATTTGGAATCAGAATCGTCATCTCCAGCCAAATTTTATCAACTGCCTCCTCAGTTCCGTTCTTTATTCAAGTATCAATTCCTCTTTGCTGGCTCCACCTTCTTCGTGATAAAATTCTTTTTGAAGTGTGAAGCTTGTGAATTTATTAGCGTCGACAATCCCATCGTATGCTTGGAATTTCACTTTTTCAGCTTTCCCGTCGACATCTTCGCGTTCCTTCAATGCATTCTTTTCACGGAACAATTTGTGGCTATCTTTATTCTTTCAGAACTCTTTTCCCTTTCATTCGAATTGAACCGCGAAATGGCCTGCCATGAAAAGCAATATAACTCTGAGTCTGTCTTATTCTCCAAGGTATTTTTTCTGGAATGTTCCCAAAGCACATGGCACAAGGTTTATTATTGTAAATGATGAGACCATCACCGGAAGCCCGAAAAATTGTATTAAAAATCAGGAGCGCAAACCCTTTCTCCCCTTCTTGGAAAGGGTATGTCCGACAAAAGACCACCCTTCCATTGCCAGTTCTCGTCACCTGGGCAAATGATTCTGTGAGAGTGGTAAAAATAGTTGCGGAGAAATTTAGAGATTTGGCTCAGACCGCGAACAATTGTGGCACGTGAGATGAGTAGTATTCCGCATTCAAGGCCTTCACGGGTCGGGACTAGATCCTTAGTGAAACTCTCTCTGCGATTTGGGTTGGTGGCACTTTAGTTCAGTAGGCGGGTGGGGAACTGTCGCTATTTGGAAATGCACTGGCAGGGAAGTTGGGTATGACCTCCCACCCATGGCATGGCCGCTGGACGCTGCCATCCTTGTCAACCGCACGCACCCGTGGCGGCGCGCCCTTCTGAATGGAGTCCTCGCTTTTTAGTTTTTTATTGCTGTTTTATTTGTCTCCCTAGTTTTTATTGCGCTGGCGTGTCTTTCTTTCCGTCATACCACGGCCGACCTAACAAGGAGTTCAGTATTTTCCATGGCTCTTCTTGCTTTTTCTCCCCATTAGCAACCCTTGTCCCATTTATTGTCTATTTTTCAAGAAGAAAAATAACACGCCATTTCGATCCCGGCCCGTCGGCCTCTCAGTGAGTATTTGTACATTATTCTCTCTTATGCTGCCATACTCCAGTGTTACTTTGCTTTCTCTCATGTTTGCATTCTGTGTTAAAAAGTATCCAATTGATTTGGTGGTCATTTCTTATTCTGAAATTGAATGTGAAACCGAAGCGATTACGCATTAATAGGGGTGCCATTCGCAGGAAGCGCCACACAAAGCAGTCCCTGGCGGCCAAGGTAGCTTGTAGATGGCGGTTATGCTTTCAAACGAAGATCGCGGTGCTGAGAGAACTCGGAATTGCTGCTCCCTCCCCGAAGCAATCCCCCCCCCAGTTTAGTTAGTAATTTGGACAAGCCGTGTTGCCAGCAGCGGCACAACTCAATTGGAGCGTGGTTTGGATGGTGCCGAATGGTGGGACCAAACGTTTTGTTGTGAACTCGTGCAGTTCCGCTTTCTGAGCTCTTACTTGTTTATTGTTTATTATTTATTTATAACGTTGTGCATAAGGCAAATGCAAGAAATATGAGTTCTATGAATAATTCAAGAATAAAAGCTATTCATGAATGAAAACGGGCAGCCAAAAAGGGTTTCCCGTTCCATGGATTCTGACGGATTCTCTGTTTTTTTCGCCATTGGCGACCACGAGAGCAGAATCACGTCTCCCTCTCTGAAACCCTTTTAGAACCTATTCGTAATCCTGTCTTTAATTGTTAGCTCCTGATAGTGTGTGTGGTGTGACCGTAGTTCGAAACAAGGAAGTTGGGTTTTAAGCAGGACACTTTGCCCCAGGTGGGATTCAAACCCATACCTGTCTCTTTCCAGAGAGTGTGCCACTAATCACACTTCAGTGATACCCCTTCATCCTGTGTTCGTCATAAATGGTTCAGCACTGTTAGGGTTGATAAACGATATATCTAGTGGGACCGGCATCGGACAGTGGAGCGCGAGTCTGGGAGCTCTAGTAGATATCTGGCAATTTGGCGAAGCCTCGCGCTAATGGTACGCGAGCACACTGTTTTGATCTGATTGGTTTGAACTGCTTAGCATGGGTTTGTCGTTGAAGGAGAAACCGGTTCGACTACGTATAGGAACAGGGTTTGCGGCATACAGATCCCTTTGCGATTATCTGAAAATAGAGTTTTGTGGTTTTGTGGAGGTATAGGCCCACATCAATCAATCACGGCATACTCTTCCATAAAGAAAATCAATTTATCGATCGGCCCTTTCACTGCATTTGATTTTCAGTCTGGTTGTTGGAAGAAGTAAATGTTTTCAGATGTTGCTGCTTCATTTTTACGGGTAGAGTCCGGCCATCAGCGGATATCGATTGATGGACGTAAGCATTGATAATTTTTTTTATTCAAAATAACTCTCCAGGATACAGTGCGTTATTAATCGATTTCAGGTGATCCATATATGGGCTTTTTCACGCGATTACAATTTCATGAACCAACATGTATAAGTTCGTTAACAGTTCACTGTCTTAAACCACTAACCGGAGCTGAAGAGATGTAAGTTGTGATTTTTCGATCGAAATATTGTATTGTTTCCTGTGTAATGTTAAAATTTTTAGAGATATCTTATTTTCTGAGTGTGAACATGGCCACTGGAAAGTGATGCATTACACCAACACAAAGGAGAAATTTCTATTGAAAACGGTGCGCCTTAGTGCTGTTTGAATGCAAGTGTAATGGTAAATCATGTAGTATCGATTTTCAGGAAGTTGTCGCGCGACAATTATCGATTTCGAGTCCTATTGTGCTTTCAATCATTGATGTACAGGTAGAGACATGCAGGAAGAACAAAACGATTCCCATGTAAGTTCCAGCGGATTGATTCGTCGTTATTTTGTCAATTCATTTGGCTACAGTACACCTACAGTAAATTTATATGCAAGCGCTTGCTTCGAGAAACTCCCAGCATCGCTCTTTTTATGGCCCGTTGAATGACGCGACTCCATACTTACACTGCATGGAGTTCAAGTCTCCAATTCATAGGTTGGGGCAGAAAGCGCTGCGGAAGAAGTGAGCAAGACGTCTTTCTTGCTACCCGCTAATGTTCTTGGAAGCCCCAGGTTCACTTTGTTCAGTTCAAGAGCTTACTTCGTTCATGATTTTGATTTCTCAGTACGAAATATCTACATGAAGCAATCAGTGGTCTGATCCATCGAAAAAAGATGAAGCCTTAGCAGAAGAGGTTGTCATTGCGAAAAGTAAAAACATTTACAACTTTACCCAAGCTAACTCCTCCAGCAGAAACCGGTCGGGGCATTGCCATTGCTTCCTAGAGGATCGAGCGTCGATCAACGAAACCTTGACCTTAGGGCACCTTGAAAAGATCGGTGTTGAAGGGAGTTACGGGGAGGCGTGAAGGGCTCATTTTCGAACGGTTTGAATGAACATTAGTTCTCCCATTTTTTCCTCAAAGATGTTTCTGCGTTCCTGCACGTTTTATTACTGTATATTTCTCCTCGCTCAAGGAGAAACTGCCGTGAATTTCCACCAGTTTTCACCGGGAACATTCGAATTGGCTTGAGGGTTGGGGAAGGTGAGGGATAAGAAGGGTAAGAAGATAAGGCAAGAAGGCCGCAGTGTTGTTGGAGCATAAGTGCTGTTATTTGTACAATGCAACCACCACCATTTTTGACCGATTCCTGCTCCACGAAAAATCGGGGATAGGAAGGATTGGATTTTGCCAGAAGAAGGGCGCGAAGTAGTGTAAGTGGCCTTTTCGGAAACATTTGATCGACTTCGAGCATTCTGCCGGTGTCCTCAGATGTGGCTAATATGCGATTAAATTTTTGCATTTCTAAAAAAATAAAATCGCGAAAATTATTGCGGGAATAAATTGAG